TCATCTTGGACCAATTTTTTTTTCATCCAAAATTTTGGAGCTTTGATGCATCAAGCCTGCTCTCCCCAACAAAATTGGCAGACGCAGTTCGCCTGAAGCACAAGAAAACTGGCGACGTTGCTCCACTATATAGCGTTGCCCAACCCTACGTGGCTTACTCGTTAAAAATTGCCAACTTGCATGGAAAATTCTACGTCCCCTACTTGTTGTCTTAACTTGGCCGTCTTACAAGCATCTGTTTCGAGGAGTGAAGACGTATCTATGAGAGAAAAATTCGCTGATCAGACCGAACTAGATAGTGAAATTTCACACTTCTTTGACTCCTAGCCGTCAGCATTCACTCTTGGAATTGAAATGCTAGTGGAGCGTAAGACGTACGTCGTGGATCACGATCATAATGATGATTGTTTCGGTATTGATATCTATATAATTATTTGAAACAATTGTGAAATTTAGTGAAATATTCAAATCAACCAATGAATTATGAAATCGAATGTGTTAGCCAGTGTTGGGGTATTGATAAGTTCCTGACTTTTAAATGAAGTTGCCTAATAGATGTTTGCATATCAGCGAGATGTTAGTACAGTCGCATTCTGTTACACGTAAGGAAAAATAAAGTTACAGATTATCTGCCTCTCAGTTTTTTGCTGCTTAGTGAAACCCTTATGTTCTTTTACCCTCTGCGTTCTCTGTATTGTGTATGGAGTTTCTGGACTTACGTTTATGCGCTAAATGCGCACTAAGCGCATCAGACTCCGGCTGGTAATAGCTATTGCTTATAAAGTTCGCTACCATGGTTATCGTTTCAAACTTCTTTCCAAAATTTTCCCTGGGGTTCACGTTGGTATGTTTAGAGTTGGGGGGATCGCATAGTTTTTGGTGCCTACAACGAAATTCATTTATAGATGCCAACCGGCTACCAGAATCTGGTAGGCGAGCCGCCGACAGTGGAAGATGCGCATAGAATTGCAAAATGGTATCACAACACTTTCATGGTAAGTGCCTCAAATGCTCTTAGTTTTTAATTTATTGTTGGGTTATTTTGAATTATTTCCAGCCATCGGGTGATTCGATAAAGTACGAAGCTGGGACGTGCCGATATGATGCAACTGCTCGTCTTGCCGAGATGGTCTCTAAGCGAGTTTTTGAAAATGATGCCGATAGAGCAGTTGTATGTACAAAACAATTCATGTGTATAGTTAGTGCTTAAAAGTTCATTCCAGCTCCTTTTCACCGTTTTCGTCGCTCTAAAATGTATTTCACGTATTTGTTTTAGTATACAACCAATTCCTCGCAAATGGGATGAAGTGAGCTTGATTTTATTGCAGTAGGCTTTTAATGACTCATTGTCTGGGCAACGCTCTTCCAGGATGTTATAAAAGAAATCAAAAGAATGAGGGAGGTGTTTAAAGAAAGGAAGGAATCAACCGCAACATCTTCTGAATCTTCTGCGGGAAAGCAGTGCACCCAAGAAGTTAAAAAGAAAAGGAGTTTAGCTGCTTCTAATTCTGGATACATTGGAGAGATACGTAACTACTGGATTGAGTATTGGGATAGAAAACAAAGGAGATGGATTTGTAGGTTTTAACTTGACTAGTGAC